CAGTTATTTAACACGGTTATGGTACTTATTCATATAATTTCGTAATGTCATGAGGGTTAAGTAAATGTAAACAAATAAATTTCGAAGTAACCATGGTAAACTAGACCATACAATTACCGTGTACAAGATATTCTAAATATAATATGAGTAAATACATACCATATAATATTATGATTTAATGGTAAACCGTATAATACAAATGGTGTCGTAACTCTTGACTGTTAACATCGACGTTGATAACATAAATTATTATAATATTACTCTTTTATAGTACCCAATGATCAGAACCATGTCAGGGGATAATAAGTTTGAGCTAGCGGTGATGAGATTTCTCCGAAACGGGTTTACAGATGGCTGTTTGTATTCTGACCAGAAAAACAGAAAATTTACGGTAATTATAATGGATTTTGTATTACGTTMATTTTGATTTCGGAGAAGAGACGAGAATACGAACGAAAAAATCATTTCCATCGTTTTGAATATAAGGATTTTTCAAATTTAAATCACAATTGATAATATAGTTTTATACTTTTTTTTTCGAACGCTGRCCGTTATTTGCACATTCTTTCCTCTTTCTTTGTATCTCGTGTGGTCTCCACATATTAACTGTTTGACCATGATAGATACTTTTTAACGTGCCATTTTTATTTATTTTATTGTGACGAATGAAAGTATATAATATCTTATTGAGCTTCAAATTCAATGACGAATCGTTACGCTAATATTTTATAATTGGTTAAGTTAGGTACAATAAAATATTGAAATAGTTGATGTTTAAAAGTTGGATAAAATTATAAGACTATATAATAACAAAGTTGATTGGTATATAGAACATTAGCAAACAACCACGTTATAGTTATTGATGTTACCGACGTTTTTTTTTTTGTTAAACACAGAAATACAAATTAGTGTGGTGGCTATTATAATTATCATACATGTATACAATATTACTAAAGCACAAGTACCTATAGTAATAATATACCTAACATAAAAGACAAATTGGACGGACTAATATTTACCTTACCTTACTTTACATTTCATCTGTACTAATTAACAAGCAAATATTTTATTTTCTCTAATCGATATAAGAAATAACGAATTCTGTCCTCGACCAACATAATATTATAAMAATTTCACGATGTTCTAAATGAACACACAACTGAGAAAAATATATACAGAATACGTTAGCAATAAATTAAAAATTGTCGTTTGCAAATATAACGTAACCTATTGTAA